CTTCATGGCTGCATTTTGAATTTGAGCAAATAAGCCTGGGTCATATTCCCTCCCTCCCTCCCTCCCTCCCTCCTTCTGTCTTCTTGTTGCATGACAAAATAAAAAAGCAATCCATGCTACTGCTGGCAAGGCGCGAGCAGACAGGCCGACCTATTCTCAGCCTGGCCGACTCTAACTCAGAGCTCTGAAATCTCTCCAACTGGCTCACTATATTCCAGTCGGGTTGCTGCCATGCATGTCCCACACTTCCAAATTCCTGTGACTGGCTGGGGAGCCCTGCTACCATACCTTTCTCTGGAACTCAGTTGAGTTGCTGCAGGAAGGAAAACACCGCACAATCTCAGTTTAGAATCTACAGGTAACACAATCGCTGGGTGCAGAAACTAGCATCCTAATTTTGTAAGCTATCTAAGTTGTTAATCCTCCGGTGGTGCATCCCAGTTGTTCTGCCACCTAACTCGGGGGCCTCTTGCTACCCACATTGTGTCTCCATCCTCACTCCTATCCAAAAGCAAGTTCTCTTTCTCCTGCCTCCCCTCCTGCCTCCTGCTTCCTCTCCCCACCTCCCCTCCTGCCTCCTGCTTCCTCTCCCCGACATGGAATTCTTACCTACTCCTCATCCAGTGAGTGATTGGACCCTTGAAATCTTTATTCATTAGGGGAAGGTTCTACCACAGTTTACTCAAAGAACTGGATTTTCTGGATCATCTATACAGGTAAATTCCATAGGGCTGCGGCTATCACAGAGTATAATCGTAAAATAGAATAGATGGTGGGGAAAAAATGTAATATACATCAAAATGGTCCTATAATCTGATGAAGATTACAGATTGAACAGATGAACAGAAAAATTATTGACCTATGATATCTATTTATTATTTTCCTGTTTTTTCTTTCTTCTTTCTCTGTGTCTGTCTGTCTATACACACATATGCCATGGCATGCACATATGGATGTGGAGTCAGAGGACAATTTACAAGAACTAGTTCTTTTCAATCACGGAGGTTCCAAGGGTGGAACTGAGGCAAGTTTTTTTTTTCTTAACCCAACAAGCCAATTTACTACCCTTTGAAATTCTTTTATTCCCACTTAAACTACCCCTTTTCCTTCATAGAATATTGTTACAGAGTTTTTATTTGTACGAAGAATAGTTTCATCATGGAATGCCAGATAATTACATTTCTTGCATGTGACCAAAGAAAAAGATAATGGAAAATGAGCTGAAATGAGAACACAGTTACTACTGGCCTACCCAAGACTCCCCATGTACATTCTCTTCACAAAGAGCCACTGCCTTCCAAGTTCTGTAATTAAAGGTGTGGACCATCGTGCTCACTTCATTTGGTTTTCCAGATTTGTTCCTATTTTTTAAATAATTAATGATTTTTAGTATATTTTAGTTACAATATTGCAAATGATGCTTTGATTTCCTCTGATGAAGGGATGAGTTGAGAGTCATACCCAAGCTTTAGGAATACTTGTCTTGAACTGAGCCCAGAGCATTTCTTACTGATTATATTTAGGCCTAGGCCTGAAAACTTCTAGTCTCTGTACAATCTAATCTTCTACAAGCCCAGACCTTAAAGGCTTCAGTTTCCATCCTCTGTCTGCTAGGCCTAGAATGTTTTAGCATCTGAGAATTACTGATGAATAAATTCTATCTATCTAGCTCTTTCTGAACTCTGGCTGGCTGGTTCAACTCAACTGTTCTAGTTCTAACTCCTCTCCAAGCTGACTGATTCAAATTGATTTCTCTCTGCTTCTGACTAAATGGTTCTGCTTAGAAAAGCTTCCTCTGAACTACATGAACTGAACTGTACTGCCTGCACAAACTGAGCAGAACTAAATAGAAATACATGAACAACACGAACAACTGCATTCAACTGAACTGAATCAATCTCAAGAAAAACCCCTCTGCCCTTCAATGCTCTTAAGTAGCCTCTTTCTTGTCTGTTCTCTTGTATCCTATCTCTGAATCATTCTGTCAACTCTTTCTCTGATTCTTCA